GGTGTGTGCACACATACACATTGTATTTTTCCCTTGTTTTATTTATTTATTAATTAATTTTTACAGATTTTATTTATTTATTTGACAGAGACACAGTGAGAGAGGGAACACAGCAGGGGGAGTGGGAGAGGGAGAAGCAGGCTTCACGCTCAGCAGGGAGCCCGATGCGGGGCTCGATCCTAGGACTCTGGGACCATGACCTGAGCCGAAGGCAGACGCTTAACGACTGAGCCACCCAGGTGCCCCATGTATTTTTCCCTTGTTTTAAAATTTGTCAGAGAAGAGAGTAGCTTCTCTGTCAGGTTGGATGTGTTAGAGCAGCTCAGTCCTGACTGATTTTGCTGTCTTGCTCCTAAAAAATTGTGACAGTGTTTCTGTCACATCCTTGTGAGTAGCTCGATAGGTGGTGGCCCCTCTTTCCCATGGTGCCTCTCTGGAGGTGTGGTGCCAGAGCTCAGGCTGTGGGGGCATTCCCTTCTTGTGTGGACTCCTGGGGGACGGACAGCAGGATGCCAAGGTGGGCTGAGTGGGCCCTGGTTCTTTGGGAGCTCTCGCTGTGCCCTGCTGTCCTTGTGGTACAGGGGCACAAAGTCCACATGCAATGGTGGCGTGGATATAGAAATCCAGGGTGTGAGAGCTGCCATGGAAGTAGAGGCTTGGGGCAGGGTGTGTTTGATGTTGATTAAAAAGGCAAAAACGGATGACCAGAACTGGCACCATGCCCATTCACAAGACCTGGGGTGATTTCTTCTCAATATCTTATTGCTTCTTAGATACCTGTGGGATGGTGGCGCCTGGGTGGCTCAGTTGTTAAGCATCTGCCTTCGGCTCGGGTCATGATCCCAGTGTCCCGGGATCGAGCCCCGCATCGGGCTCCCCGCTCTGCGGGAAGCCTGCTTCTCCCTCTCCCACTCCAGCTGCTTGTGTTCTCTCTCCCACTGTGTATCTCACTCTGTCAAATAAATAAACAAAATCTTTAAAAAAAAAAAAAAAAGATACCTGTGGGTTCTGGTTGGTTCATGGTTGTTCTAGAATTTAGGTATTAGTGACCCGTTGTTTTTGCCTTTTTGGTTTTTTTTTTCCCCCAATTTACTTTTTTTTTAAGATTTTATTTATTTATTTGAGAGAGAGAGAATGAGAAGAGAGCACATGACGGGGGAGGGTCAGAGGGAGAAGCAGACTCCCTGCCGAGCAGGGAGCCCGATGCGGGACTCAATCCAGGGACTCCAGGATCATGACCTGAGCCGAAGGCAGTTGCTTAACCAACTGAGCCACCCAGGCACCCGTCCCCCAATTTACTTTTTAATTTATACAGAGTTAAATGCACTTTTTGGTACACTTTTGTGTTTTGAACCATGCATATAGTTTTGTCATGTAACCCACAGCACAATCAAAAACATTTTCAAATCTCCCCCTCCCAGTTCTCTTGAACTGTCCTTTTGTCATCAGAATTCTCTCTTTTCACCCTGCTAGGCACTGAGCTGTCTCCCTAGGTTAGCCAGTTCCTGAATGTCTTATCAGTGGAGTCACAGGGTAGGTACCCCGAGAACCAGGCTCCAACTCAGTGATGCAGGTAGGATTCGTCTCTGTTGGTGCCTGTGTCGATGGTTGGGTCATTTTTGCTGCTGAGCGTGCCCACTACAGGGCAGTGCTGGGTGTGTTCTTCCTTCTTGATTGAGGGGTGTTGAGCACATTGCCAGTTTTGGGTGATTAGCACTTGGTTGCTATGAGGCTGTCCAGGTTTCCATGTGAGCGTAGATAAATAAGCACCCAAGATGGCCTTGCTGGGCTGTATGGTAGGTGTGTGTTCAACTGGATACCTTTGCACATCTGTGGGGAGCAGCATGTATGTGTGGGTCTGTCTCTACATTTGGTTCTGTCTCCTTGGTCTGTGTGTCTGTCCCTTCACCAGTGCCACACCTTCTTGATGACATGAATTCCTTTTTTTTTTTTTCTTTTTTTAAGATTTATTTATTTGAGAGAGAGAGCACGATTGTGGCGGGGGCAGGGGCAGAGGGAAAGTGAGAGAATCCCAAGCAGATTCCGCCACTGAGTGCGGAGCCCAACGCAGGACCCGATCTCATAACCCTGAGATCCCGACCTGAGCTGAGACCAAGAGTCGGATGCTTAACCGACTGCACCACCCAGGCACCCAAATGACATGAATTCTTGAAATCAGATAGTGTGAACCCTCCAACTTTGTTCTTTTTCAAAAGTACTTCCATACCATGCTCCTTTGCCCTTCCATAAAGAAACAGTATGTCATATGGAAAGTTCTGTTGAGATTCTGATTGGAATTGTGTTACATCTGTAGATGAATTTGGGGAGAATGTACTTCCTAACGGTATTGAGTCTTCCGGTTCACAACCCCAGTGTGTCTCCCCATTTATTGAGGTCTTCTTTCATGTCTTTTATTGTAGCTTGGTCATCTCCAGTGTGCAGATCCTGCACTCGTTTTCTTAGATTTAGACATAAGTATTTCACACATGTTTTGGAGCTGTTGTGAGTAGCACTTTAGTTTCAGTCCTGACTGTGGATTGCTAGTGTAGAGAGATGGAATTTACTGTCTGTATGTTGACTGTGTGTCTTGCAGCTTTGCAAACTGTGTTACTTGTTCTAATAGTTTTTCTGTAGATTTCTTTGGAATTCCTGTGTACAGACTAGGTTGACTCAGATTAAAGGTGGTTGGATTTCTTCCTTCCAATCTAGATGCCTTTTATTTCTTTTTCTTGGCTTGCTGTTCTGGCTAGAAGCTCCATTACATGTTGAGTAGCAGTGGGGAGAGTGGACATCCTAGTCTTGTTCCTGATCTTAGGCGGGAAGGATCCAGCCTCTGACCACTGAGTGTGATGTTAGCTGTCCGTTTTTTGTTGGTGCCCTCTATCAGGTTGAGGAAGGGTTCTTCTATTCTTGGTTTGTTGAGTGTTTTTATCATGAAAGGGTGTTGGCAGTTTGTCAAATGCCCTTCCTTTATCTGTTGATAGGCCTTTTCCTCTTTAATTTGTTGATAGAGTGAATTTGGTTGATTGATTTATTTTTTAAAAACTGCATCCCTGGGATAAGTCCTACTTGGGCACGGCATAGATTTGTTTTTATGTGTTACTGGTTGCGAATTGCTAATACTCTGTTTAGGATTTTTATACCTGTATTCATGAGGGATATTAGTTTGTAGTTTTCTCTTTGGTGTTAATAACAGAGTACTACTAACATCATAAAATGAATTGACAGTTGTTCCTCCTCTTAAGGTTTTTTGAAAGATTCTCTAGAATTGGTGGTGTTTTTTTTTTCTCTCTTAAATGTTTGGCAGTTATCACCAATGAAGCCATCTGCATGTGTAGTTTTCTCTGCGGGAAAGTTTTATCAGCTTCTTGAAAAGGGCAGTTTGGGTAGTTTGCATTTTTTAAGGAATTGGTCCATTTTCTCTAAATTGTTGAATTTATGGGTGCTGGGCTGTCTGTGGTGCTCCCTCATGGTCCTTCAATGTCTGTTGGGCACTGATGCTCCAGGCTTGCATATTGTCAGTGGGTCACTTCTACCCTTTGTGCTGTAGTTCCTATATGCCCCTCATAGGTTAACCATGAGCCACATGTGGCTGTGGCCCTTGGTGCAGGTAACTGTGGTGCCGGCCTTTGCCTGCGGCTGTTGGATGTCTTTGGGCTTCTGAGTATGTGTTCTCCAGCTGTGTGTGTGCGCCTCGGCTCTTGCAGGGAGGATCCTGGGCACACAGGTTGTTTTCCACCTACTCAGCCTGGTCCATAGCCCAGGTGCTGGCTGCCGGTTACAGACTGGTCCTCATAGGCTGAATGAGAGAGCCAGCCTCCGCTGATGGTTTGGCTACCTTGCCAGCCATTGAGGATGGGTCCAGGGCTTGACATCTTGGTGAATAACTTTCCTTGGAAACTGATCCACGCTGATATGGGCACTTGTAAGTGGAGGTATCCTGTGGGGACCTGTTGGAAGACAATAGCCAAATGAGAGCAGGGAGATTTTCAGCTCACCAGAATCAGGAATCCTCTTCAGAAATAGTACCTTGCTTTCTTGACTCAGTAAAAGTGAGTCCGCTGGTGGAGGGAGAGGAACCCCTGCCTCCGTCCCCACAGCAGCAGTGTTATGTTCTTAAAGAAGAGGCAGGGAGATGGAGAGGGGGCCATGTGGAGATGGGAGTGACGCTGCCACAAGCCAAGGAAAGCTTGGGGCTGTCAGAACCTGGGAAAGCCAAGGAATGATCTTCCTGAGAGGTTTCAAAGGGAATGTGGCCTGCTTACTCCTTGCTTTTGGACTTTTGGCCTCCAGAAATGTGAGAAAATAAGCCACCCTTTTTGTGGTACCTTGTTATGGAGGTGGGCTGTGCTGAATGGGTAGGCCATGGCCTCCCTTCACTGGGGGTGGCTCAGCAGAGGCCCAAGCCTGGTTGGAGTCAGAGCCACTTCCTGGCTGCTGCCTGCCTCTGTTGTGCAGAACTTGCCTTTTTTCCCCTAAAAAACGGGTTAAGTGGTGTCTCATTAACCCTTCTTAGTCGTTCTGTTCTCTGGTTCTCATAGTGATTGGTTTCAGAGCCAGGACGGATGACTTTGTGTTTGAAATGGGAGCGAGGCCAGGCCCTTTGCAGCCTTCAGGAGGCTTGCCCTTTTTAGAGTACATTGCTTTTGTCTTGACTTACCTTCTTTCTTCTATAGTCTCACGATGATCTTCAAATTTTTCTCCTAAGGTTGTCTGTCTTTAGATTTCTGACTAATTGTCTGTTCAGACTTAGATTCAGCGAAGGCTCCCAGGCAGCACGAGGCTCTACCACCCTGTTGCAATATGTTCTCTCCAACTTAGCACAGCACTGCTCATCCCATCTCAGAGGGGCAGCTGGACAGTGAGGTGGGGGTGTGACATGCTCCTTGAGGCAGTAAAGAGGACAGGAAACTTCTGGGGCAAGCAGACAGCATGGGGAGCAGCTCCGCGCGTCCAGCAGGCTCGGTCCAGCACTTAGGAGTGGCTGCTTTGTTTTGTAGTATTTTAACCACATCAGTATCGAGGACTCACGGGTCTACGAGCTGACCAGCAAGGCCGGACTGTTGTCTCCCTATCAGATCCTCCACGAGTGCCTTAAAAGGTAGGGCGGGTGCTTCCCCTCCTGAGAGCAGTCATGGGGGCTTCTCTTTTGGTGCCCAGTGTCTTTACTAGCCATTTATCCTGGCTTAAGAGGTGCTGTTAAAGGTGGGGCTGTTGCAAGCGTTCCGTGCTTGCACAGAAGCCCCTCGTGCCTGGCGGTCAGTCAGAGCCCGTGATGGGGTGTACGCAAAGACTGCCCTCCTTCTCAGCTGAGAAGCGGTTTGGGGAAAGAGTTGGCACTGTCTTCAGAGAGCCTTTAAAGGGCTTTCCTGGAGTTGCTGTTTCCTCCCTTCTCAGCTGATGTCACCTGTTTTCTCTGTTTTTTCTTAAAGAAACCATGGAATGGGTGACACATCCATCAAGTTTGAAGTGGTTCCTGGTAAAAACCAGAAGAGCGAATATGTCATGGCGTGCGGCAAACACACAGTGCGCGGCTGGTGTAAGGACTGCCTCCCCTGCTTCTGGCCACCCCGTCACAATTTCTCATGACTGCTGGGGCGGTGGCTCCCTGCTTTGTGGCCTCTCTGGCAGCCCTGAGCCTCTGTGGCTTGGTCTCTGGCCACTGCTCTGGCATCTTTCCCGAGCTCCTGCCTTGGGTGCTGACTGCCTGCAGTGTGTCCACTGGCATCTCCTCTCGACCTCGGAAAGGCAGTCACCCGCAGGCGGGACTATGGGAGTCCTGCCCACACCATCCCTGTCCTCCTGGTTCCTGGGATTGGGCTGATCGTTTGGGTTAGACCGTGTGTTCTCCTCCTGCCACCAGTGCCCCATCCAACCCGTGGTCCCTGTGGCAGGAGGAGGGGTGTCCTGGAATGGCAGCAGAGCCCCTGGCCTGCCATACTCTGTGTCCCTGTGTTCCGGTGTCTGTGTGCACCACCTGTGCTCTTTACCGAATTTGGTTCTTGGAGTAACCACTTTTTAAAACTTTTAAATATTTTATTTATTTATTTATTTATTTTAAAGATTTTATTTATTTATTTGAGAGAGAGAGAATGAGA